GAGAGAAGAAGGAGAGGAAGAAGAGGAAAGGAGGAGAGGAGAAGGAGGAAGGAGGAAAGGGAGAGAGGAAGATGAGGAGGAAAGGGGGAGAACGAGAGGAGGAGGAAATGGAGAGGAGGAGGGAGGAGGAAGAGGTGGAAGAGGAAAGGTGCAAAAGAGGAGAAGAGGAGGAAAGAGAGGGAGGGGAGGAGGAGAGGAAGAGGAGGAAAGGAGGAGGATGAGAGGAGAGAAGAACGAAAGGAGAGGAAAAGGAGGAGAGGAAAGGAGGAGAGGAAGAGGAGGAAAGGAGGAGGACGAGAGGAGAGAAGAACGAAATGAGAGGAAAAGGAGGAAATGAGAAGGAGGAAAGAGGAAAGGCAGAGGAAAGGAGGAGAGGAAGAGAAGGAGGAAAGGAGGAGGACGAGAGGAAGAGGAGGAGGAAAGGGGGAGAACGAGAGGAGGGAATGGAGAGGAGGACGGGGAGGTGGAAGAGGAAAGGTGCAAAAGAGAAGGAGGAAAGGAAGAGAGGAAAGGCAGAAGGCGTAAAGGAGGAGGCGAGGCCAGGAGGCTGAGCGGGTCCGCAGGACAGAGCGGGCCGGGCGAAGGCACTTACTTGCGTCCCGTCCACCAGCCGCCCGGCCATGGCTGCGCTTGTCGGAGCGGCCGGTGGGGCAGGCGGGGCGAGGGGCGCGGCCGGCCAGCTGCGCGTGGCCTCCCGGCTGAAGCCCTGCGGGATGCCGCTTCCTGAAGGCGGTCAGCTGATCGGCAGGCGGAAGAGCCGCGGCCGGCGCTAGGCGGGCCAGCACTGCACTTCGCGACGGGCGGGGGGGGGAGCCCCGGGAAGGGGGCCGGACGGATGGCCTCAGGGGGCTCCGTCCAGGCTCAGCTGGGGGGGGGCAGTGAAGATGGGGACGCCCCTACCTCCTCCTCCTCCCAACACGCCTCTCAAAACTTTTCAAAAGTTGGTGACTGCCAATCAGAAGAGAGGACCAGGGATGGTCCTTTCAATGACACGGCTAGTCCTCGACTTACAATGGCTCATTTAGTGACCGTTCCAAGCTACAAAGGCACTGAGAAAAGGGACTTAAGACCATTTTTCACACTTAACAACTGTTGTTTTTTTTTTTGCACTTAGGACCATTTTTCCCACTTAACAACCATTGCAGTAACCTCAGGGTTCCATGATCAAAATTTGGTCGCTCGGCTATTGACTCACATTTATGACGGTTGCAGTGTCCCGGAGGAGCGGCAATGGGGGCAAAAAAAAACCAACCTCACTGGACAAACGTCTCGCTTAACAACCGAAAGGTTGTGGCTGTTCGTTTGAGGACTTACCTGTATTGCAAAGAGCAGGAAGCACAACTGGCAGCTGCTTTTTTTCCCCCAAACTCGTCTCAAAACTCACCTGCCAGAGGGCTCACGATCCACCTGTCCAAAGGGGCAACTTTGTAAGAGCTCAGGGAACTGTAATGATGGTATCAGGCACCGTCTGTGGAGATGAAGCCCTGATCCAGGGGTCCAGGAGTTTCCGGCCTTCGCCACCCTACAGCAGGGAGCAGCCACAAACCAGGGGTACTGAAAAGGGGAAGGAGGAGAGGAAGAGGAGAAAGAGTAAAGGAGGAGGAGGAGGAGGAAGAAAGGAAGAGGAGAAGAACAGGAGGAAAGGAAAAGGAGAGGAGGAGGAAAGGAAAAAGGAGGAAGAGAAGGAGGAAAGGAAAAAGGGAAAGGAGGAAAGGAAGAGGAGAGGAAGAAAAAAAGGAAAGGAAAAAGGAAAGGAAGAGGAGAAGGAGGAAAGGAACTCACCGGGTTGTGAAAAAAATAGGAAAAAATGAGAATTATGTATGTTCGTCACATTTATAAAGTAATAAAAGCAGGATAAAAATCAAATAAAAAATAAACTACATGGACGCTCCTGGAAATGAAACTGGATTGAGCAAAGTTGTACCTTTCCTCATTTGGCATCTCAAAACATTAAAACCAAGGCCATCCAACAAGCCCCGGTTATGTAAAAAATATCATGTTCCTCTCATGTGACACATTTCTTTCTTCTTTTTTTCTTTTTCTTTTTTTGCAATGTGACAGGAGGGAAGAAACCACTGAAACAATTGTTGCAATCAAAAGTCTTGGTTTTGTCCATCAACAACCACCCATTCCCAATTAAGGTAGTATCCCCAACAGACTGCACCATTTCAAAAATGGGTATCCGATCTTTATTAATTGACTTCTGACTAAGTCTATTTGAAAATGTTCAGTAAATCAGGCCATTTCTTTACAACCCTGTGGAATCTGCACCCGATTTTCTCCATTTATAAGAATCCCATCTCCTGAACTGCCACCATTTTAGAAGATCTTTTAAGAGGAAAGGTGAGTTGATGGCTTTGTTGTTGCCTCTCATAGAATCCAAGTGGCATTTTTAGGTACATCCAGATGCCTGTAGTTGTGAGATATACAAGGTTGCAGGACCAACTAAAAATTACCCTTGATAATCCAGCAAGAAGATATGCGATATTACAACCTCCCAGAAAGCAAGCAGATCTGGATTTTGTCAAATTTGGATGAAGATTAGGGGAAATGTCCATAAGTCTGAGTTATCTTGTAGAAGAAGGAAAAACTCATAAAGGAATTAAAAAATACTGTATTCATCTACCTCGTCTCCAACTGTTTTACATTATAAACAGACTGTGATTTGCCTTTAATTAACCATTTTTGTTTTAGATTAACTTGTAAGCACATTAGTCCTTGATTGTTTAATATATTCAATCAAAATTATTTTTTTTGTTTTTCTGGAAGGTAAATCTGTATAAATACCCTAGATAGTTTCAAGTAAGACCTCCAATTTCTCAGACTATAAATAAAGACTTTATTATAAATACACAGGACTCCTTAGAAGAAGTGCAAACATTTTAATCAGCTCTTAGAAGTACTTGGCATTAAAGCAGGAGAAAAACCCCAACGCTTTGTATTTAGGAATTGTATTTGTCATTGCTTTCATTTGTAGATAAATTATAGATAAAGCAGAGTGAATAATATTTGAGAAAGGCAGCAAAGTAGAAGATGAATTAATGTGCACTTTCTATGCACTGAGAAAGAAAAATATATATAACCAAGCATTAATAAGCATTTCCCTGCAAGTGTGTCATGGACGGATTCTTCTATTTCAGGATATGGGTTCATGCTGGATTTACACTTAATATTGCATATAAAGTAGAATTTCTAAAACATTTAATAGCTCCTTCCTGAGAATGTTGCATTTCATAATATTCCTAGAAAAGATCACCTCCATTTGATTTTCCATGGACAGTTTTTCCACTATCAACATTAAAAAGGATAAAAGTTCCCCTCGCACATACATACTAGTCATTTCCAACTCTAGGGTGCTGTGCTCATCTCCCTTACAAAGCCAAAGAGCCAGAGCTGTCTGAAGACGTCTCTGTGGTCATGTGGCCGGCATAACTAAACGCCGAAGGCTCACGGAACACTCTTCCCTTCCCACCAAAATGATCCCTATTTTTCTCCTTGCACTTTTACATGCTTTCGAACTGCTAGGTTGGAAGAAGCTGGGACAAGGAACGGGAGCTCACTCCGTTACATGGAGCTCACTCCGTTACATGGCGTTAGGGATTCGAACTGCCGAACTGCCAACCTTTCTGATTGACAAGCTCAGCATCTTAGCTGCTGAGCCACTGCATCTCTTATGAACATTAGAGAACTGCTAATAAGACCTGGTATAGAGGTCATTCTTTCCATTCTGAACTGATCTCAAGATACGACATACAGGAAACCTGTTAGGCCCAAAAGGAACCAAGAATGACAACAGGAGTTATTTCAGAATAGTTTCTTTATTACTGCTCACCTATATGCAGGAATCTTGTCATTATCTTCATAACTGTTAGATAAACCCTGTGAACTTAATTGAAATTAATGTGAAATTAATTGCACCAGAAGGCAAGACAAGAAACAATGGATGGAAACTAATCAAGGAGGGAAGCAACCTAGAACTAAGGAGAAATTTCCTAACAGTGAGAACAATTAACCAGTGGAACAACTTATCTCCAGAAGTTGTGAATCCTCCAACACTGGAGGTTTTTAAGAAGAGACTGGACAGTTTTTTGTCTAAAATGGTAGAGGGTTTCTGCCCAAGCAGGAGGTTGGACTGGATGCCCTCCAAGGTCCTTTCCAACTCTGTTATTCTGTGTTCCATGTTCCAACTGCTAGAGTTGGTCGCCTTCATCCTTTTCTTGCATATCGAAGATTCCAAGCTATCTTGTCTCTTTGCTTCCCAGGGAAGAGAGCTTCCATTCTGTGACTCTAGACTTTATTCCACCACACAACCTGCTCTGGTCTTTTTGGTCCAGGACCCTCCTGGGAGGAGCAGTTTGAAGAAAAAAAAATGAACACAATGCCAACTCCACGATGGAAGGAGGCCCGGGGCTTCCATCACGCAGTCGTCACTACTTGACTTTTATGACCCCTCCTTCCAAGCCTTCCTGTTTCAACTGTATGGAGGCACATTCAGCTTTCTAATGGCTTTGCCCTCAGCGATCTCCAAAATGGCAGTTTTGCATCCGTGGACAGCTTACCCTACAACTATTTTGATTTCTTGCCTCTGAATGCATTTGCATGTTTTAATAACTTCACCCAATGAAATGTTGAGGTTTTTCAAGATTTTCTTATTAAAATTTCTAGTCTTGATACAGAAGAATTTTTTGGGAAGACCCTGAGGGCAGATTTCTATCATTAAGAGCACACGTGCATTATGTGTTCATTGTGGTTTGCATCATTATAATTGTTTGCTAGAGAAGAGATGTTGGCCTGTTCTTAACTACACTCTTATCATAGTTGGGAGTGATATCAGTTGCTGTAAAAAGCCAAAAAACATGACTTTCTCTACTAAGGTTATGTATAGGGTACATTTTATATCTTCCTCCTGAAGGTTTGCCTTCAACTGATCACTTTTGATCCATTCCCAAGGATACAATTTTTCCTATTAGATATTTATATTCTTAAAGTATCGAAATCACTTGAAAGTGAAATGGGAGGCATACAAATTAGGAAGGAAGGAGAGAGGGAGGGAGGGAGGGAGGAAGGAAAGGAAGGAAGGAGGGAGGAAAGGAAGGAGGAAAGAAGGAGGGAAGGAAGGGGGGGGGGGGGAAAAGAAGGGAGGGAAGGAAGGAAGGAAGGAAAGGAAGGAAGGAAGGAGGGAGGAAAGGAAGGAAGGAGGGAGGAAGGGAAGAAAGGAAGGAGGGAGGAAAGGAAGGAAGGAATTTTTGGAAGTTATGGGTTCTCCATCACTGGAGGTTTTCCAGAAGAGCTTGGACAACTATTGACTGAAATGATACAGAAAGGAAGGAATTCCTGCATAGGGTGAGTGAATTCTTTTTCAATCTGAAAGAAACTTAAGATTGTGGGCAACTCAGAAAAGCCATTTTGGAGAAACAGAACTGAAAGATAAACCAGGAACAACCATACCATCTTGCCTTGTTTTAGGAAAACAAGATTTCTAGAACTAAAAAGCTATTGACTTCCTGCCTTACAGTAGCTAGTTTAGCCGAGCAGTCAGCTCACTATCTGAGGAAAATCCTTTTACATTTTAAAATATATATTCAAGTAATGGCGGACAATTAAAAGCATGAAACGACATACGTAAACGATAATCCC